TCTCACTGATGGTCACTGGGGAGGATGTTCTACTGTCAGGACCAGAACCAGAACCAGAACCAACGGCAAGGGCTGGATTCTTGAGATATTCATGTGAAATCACAATGGATCCAGACACTGTACATAATAATCTGCATTTATCAGAGGAGAACAGGAAGGTGACGGTGCTAGACCAACTCCGGCCGTATCCCAGTCACCCAGGCAGATTCCCTGAATGATTCCAGGTCCTGAGCAAAGAGAGTCTGATTGGACGTTGTTACTGGGAGGTGGAATGAAGAGGGAATGTAATTTATATCACCGTTTCATACAAAAACATAAGCAGAGTGGGAAATGAAAGTGGATTTGGGTATAATAATAAATCTTGGTCATTGTATTGTTACCAAGACAAATTTGAATTTCGGCACAAGAAGAAGCCAACCTCCATCTCAGTTCCAGTTTCCTCCAGTGTACCTGGACCATGAAACAGGTATTCTGTCCTTCTACAGCGTCTCTGAATCCATGACTCTGATCCACAGAGTCCAGACCAGATTCACTCAGCCGCTTCACGCTGGAGTTTGGATTTTTGACTATGGAAATTCTGCCGAGTTCTGCAAGCTGGAGAAAAAGACTGTTCAGAAATAAAATGTTGGATTTCTCTTTGCTTTTATTTTGAAAACCAGTTGTATCAGTTTGCTGCTGCTTTCCTCTCAACATGTTTCTCCACATAGAAATGTAAACTAATTTCTTACTTTTTTAAATTTGCCGACGTTGAGTTGTTTGACTGTATCTCTATTTTGTGGGTCCAGAAAGAAAAAAAATATTTTTATGTTTTGCGTCATTGGTGTTTAAAAATACAAAATAAACTTCTGAACATTAACAGATTCATTATGTGTTGTCACAAAACGGGTTCAGCTATATTCCTATTCCTAAATTTAATTGAATTTATTTGCAGCAGAACTTTTCTTTGAAATGTTTTTCTTCATGATTATACCAGATTTAAAAAGTTATTAGTAATTTGTTTCAACTGTAGTATCAGGCAAACTACCAGAGGAGGGCGCTGCAGTCCTGCAGCCAGATCTGTAGTAGAAGTTAAAGAGCTTCACTCCGTCTGGATTTGTTGATAAACATTATTTTTCTCCCATCAACTGGGTCAAAATTACTCCTAAAATGCTAAAAATGTAACTCAATTATTTTTCAAATTTAAAAACTTTTTGTATTCATAAAAAAGTAAAAGCTATTCATGAAATGTATGCATAAAATTACATAAAATTGGTTTGAAGATTTTTCCAAGGTGTGATTAAAAAATATGAATTGAATATAATTAATTCTCATTTTCAAGCAAAATAAAACTGCCTTCCAAAAATCAGATTAAGATTAGAAGAAAGAAACAACCTCATTGTGATTCATTTAAACAGGTTACTTCATTGTTTTCTTGTACAAACAGAACAAAGAAGACATTTTGGTGTGACTGTAGCAGCATAAATGGTGCGCTGCCACTTTAAGGCCAATTTCAGCTGCTGCATATAAGCAAGCCTTTACCTGAATCTGCTTCCTTTGTTTGCACTGTTCTGGGTAAGCGTGGCTGTTTTATCGTTTGTCTGCTTTAATAATGGCTATTAATACTAATTGGTTTATCTGCTTAGCCTCCTTTGCTGCACCTCCAATATCTGGACCGATCTGTCCGTTCGTTCATTTGCTGACAGGAAGGTAAGGGCTTAGCGTGGCTAGGTAACATCTACCCCATGTAAACAAAACCTTCACATAGCGTTTTCTTACAGTTGCACTGCATCTAGGCGGAATTGGGAATCTGATTATTTGGCAGTGCAGTCATTTATCAGTTCACAGGTAAGCGGCTGCTGCAAGTTATGTTTTTGTTAGCAGTTGTATTAATAATTTCCTTTATATTCTTTTTAGCCTTCTGGCTCATCAGCAATGAGCCTGGAGTGACACTTGCTGCTGTTTTGCCTACTTAGAAATTGTTTTAAAATACTAATCTGCACTTTCTCTGGGGATAAAAGTGCAACATTGTAGGGCTACTGTATCACTGTTTTACTTGTATTGTTTCATTTTCTTGTCTGTCTTTTAGGGACTGAGGCTTCTGTGGTGGTGACCCCTGGTGGCGGTGTCTTGTCTTGTGTGTTTTGTTGGAGCACCTTTTTCTTTGTTTGCTGTGTTTTTGTAGTGTCCAGGGTGGTCCCCTTTTCTGCACTGGATGTTGCCCCTTCCCTCACTACTTCCCCCATTGGTAAGCCTCAATTTCCTTTGAAATTTAGACATTTTATTATCTTGTCAAATGCATTCACTGTTTTAACCATTCAATTTCTCCGTAGATTATTGGAAATTAAAGATATTTTGAAGTTTAATAAATTTTGTAGAACTTTCTGAATCTT